TGAGGATTGGTTCAAGTGGAGGGAAAAAAAAGGCACTTCAGAAAAAACACCTCAGACAGATATGCAACAGACTTCAGACAACACAACATAAGTGTGCACTAGGTGGGGTGGTGGGTTGGGACTATCCCCACTTCAGTTCCTGCAGCCACGATGAAGCAGCGCATGTCACCTCAGTGTGGACTGGGGGAGGAGCATTGAGGGTTGGAGGGTTGCAGTGACCGTGGACGCTTCAGCGGCCTTCCCGCAGTCCCGCCCAGGCTGGGAAAGGAGACAGAAATGAGTTGCCATAGCGAAGGCACATTCCACATATCTTCTGAGGGGGGAGTTTTCGTTGGAGCCTTGCTGGCTCAAGGACGCCAGATTCCGATTAGAAATTGTTTTGGGGCCAGACAGAGAATTTCCTCTCTGTCTTACAGTTTGTTGGTCCTCAACCTCTCAAAATCCCAATAATGGACGTTGATCTATCCCAATCCGTGCTGATTCGTCCACGCTCTCCTTGATGGCATCCATCTTTTGTGCCAAAGAATGAATCTCCGCCAAAGTCCCAAGCTTACGATTCATCTTGACAATTATTTGAGTCTGAATTCACAGCGCGGTGCAATCCATCTCTGAGCTCGGGGATCAGACCAATATTCCTCGACAGCTCGTTAATTTTCCGGTAAGCCAGGTATCCTCTAAGGCCAATGAGCAGGAAACCTGACACCAGCACCACGAATATCCACACGTCTTCAGAGTCCTCCACAGACAGCTGAGATAGACAAATCAAATTCCATTGTTTCCAGGAGTCCATGATGTGTCCAACTGGGTCTGTGCCGGCGGAACATCCGGGAGCCCCTTCTCCCGTTCTCATAGTTGAAAAAATGTTATCAATCGCGTTGAGAGACCAACTGACGAGATCCATTTAAGTGAATTTCAGTTTCCAGAAAAATGCAGAAGCAGCCGTGCACCCAGCACCCAGAGACAGACAAAGGCCTTGAGGATAAGATATGGAGGAGAGGAGGAAAAAAAGCGTCTGCACCCGCCAAGAGCCGGAAGAAGATGCATCTCAAATAGATGTGGGGTGGGTAATAAATCCAAAATTTATCGTTATCAAAATTTCTGACTCTTAGCAAGAAATTTTTCTATGTCAATAAATTTGCTAATAAAAAATTAAAAGATGTGTGAAGGTTGGCAATGTTCGTGTCCCTTTAAAGAGCAAGTCACCCCCTACCAGAGCCTTACTCCACTCCCACTTCCTGTTTGAAAAATGCAACAAATGCTGTTGCCTAGCAGAACGAGAGGGCGGAGCCGCTAATACACACGCACACAGGCTCACAATGACATTGTGACATCATATGGTACCAGCTAATGTTCTCGGGTACCTCTTAGCCAATAGCGATGGCAGATTTAAATTCAAATGTAGTGCAGTTTTTACCTGCCAACGGCACAACACTGACAGTTTTCTGCAGCAAATTTAAATTTTAACTAAAATGCACTAAAGTGCTAAACTATTAACTACACGTGTCTGCAGCACGATTAAACACGCATGTATATAGTTTATCAGAAAAAAAGTTGATTGGGGGTGACTTGCTCTTTAAGAAGCAGTACCATCTTGAGTCACGTAAAAATGTGACTCAACTTAATACGTGACAGACCCATCTATTGGACAACTTTTGCTTCTGCACATGCCTGTAGTTATCATCAATTTATCGTTATCGAGGTGAAATCCTCCATATATCGTGATATTGAGTTTGGGCTGTATCGCCCAGCCCTAGATAGATGGCTAGATAGATGTGCAGTGTTTCCCGTACATAGGCGTAGCCGTGTTGGCCCGCCACGGCTGAAATCCCAGCGCCACGCCTACAAGTTCCCAAGTTTTGATTTTTTTTTGCGTCGTTTCCCAAAGAAGCAGCGGGAACTACGCTGTTGTTGCTTGTGATCACAGCCGGCAGGCAGCAAGGAGGAGGAGGCAGGGCAGGGTGGTTACAGCTAGGGATGAGCGTACGGATAAAGCATTTTTGACGAATACGAGAATGAAACGAGTAAAACTCGTAAATATCTGTAATCGTGCTGAAGGAAAATCCTCATTGGGTAACTGACTGTCTTCACTCTCTGTGATTGGCCAGTCACAAACAGCGCCTGCCCCTCCCTACACACAAAACTGCAGCATCCACACACACACACACACACACACACACACACACACACACACACACACACACACACACACACACACACACACACACACACACACACACACACACACACACACACACACACACACACACACACACACACACACACACACCTCTGTGCTTGCTTCACTGTCTCTCACGTTTCTTCAGAGCTCCCTAGGTTTTCTTCAGATCGCCTCTTTTTCGGTTGAATATTTAAAGTTACTTTTGTCGTAACGTACGTGGTGCATTTGACAAGACAGAGCTGAAAGCGGCTCGTGCATGCGTCGGTCACTGCCTCCGCTCGGGTTTTTTGTTTTGTTTTAACTCTCTCTCCCTCCCCCTCTCTCTCTCTCACACACACACCTCAATCAACATTGTTTTGTTTAACTGTGTGTGGGAAAATGCCAACAACGTTAGGAAAAAATAAGTTTAATCAAATTTAAATAAAATGGTTCTGATATTTCATATTTCCTAGTTCCTACTGCATGAGTTCAGATGCATTAATTCATGCACTTAAATATTAATGTTCTGATTTTACTGAAAAACTTGTTCTGTAATAGTTCCTTTACTGTTGTGATCAAACATATTTAATCTCAGTTCTGAGGCTGCTCTGTTAATAGTTTATAAATAAACAATACAGATAGCAACTTCTGATCAATCCGTATCAATTTCAGATGTAAAATAATGTATTGATGTAAACCACACCCACTAGTTTCCAAATAATAAATAAGAGGTGCATTCATCTGTGTATCTCCTTTGATCTACATTAGTGATCTACATTAGTGATGTTTTCAGCACCAGAACAACGAAGCAAAGAAACACATTCCTGAGTTTATGTTAGTAATTTTATTTATTAGGTGCATCTGACCTGTTCTATTTTTCTCTGAAATGAGATCAAATCAGTGTTTCTATGGGTTGTCTCCTCTCTGCACTAGAAAATGTACTTTATTATAATGTTCACTGTAATGCATCTTGATGTTCTTAACAAGTAAATTAAATCAAAGATATTGGTCAATAATGCCAAATATGTAAATTTGTGTTTCAGTCATTTTTTATACTGGCTTAAAAATACTTCATTAAGTCTACAAGCAGGGGTGTAGAAGGTGTTTAACAGGGCCAGCCCAGTAATGATCCTGGACCAAAATAAAGGGGGCAGAAGGAGATGTTTTTCCAGACGCCAAGAAAAATTAGATGCCAAATCCACCCTGCAAAGTGTGTCACTGAGAGTGTAAAAAAAACTTTTTTTTGTGCAAATATTGGTGTATTCACCTTTAATACTAGTTATTAAAATGCAGCAGTTGCTGGATTGGTGCAGTTCAAAGTGGAGTGCATCAAATAACATAACCACTCAAACTGCTGCAGCTGGGTACAAGTGTGGACTGAACAGGTGGAAACAACTGGAAAATGCTAGTATTCTGAGGGTAATAGCTTGCCACAAACTGAAAAAAGAACTATATGAACTAGTTCACTTTTGAAACGTGAACTTAGCTCAAGAAATGTAATTATGAGCAACAAGCTGAACTAGTTTGTTTTAAAAATGTATGAACTGAACTTTGAACTAGTTTATATTGAAAACAAACTTTCCCAATACTGCAGACTGTAATGGTGGAGTTGAAGTTAGGACCGAGCTTTGAAGCTAAAATATCCCATTTAAAGAGGATGCCATGTTTACGTAACTGTTAAGTAAACACGCCATGTTAAGTCGTAGCAGAATCTTTAGAGCTGTCCCACCTACTCTTAACAATGGTGGTGTTTTCTTAAAGGACTCATTCACTGACGACACTGTGTACTGGTTCTTCTTGAAAGACTGAGTTGCATGTGCATGCCACATGTGAAAAATGTCTTCAACCCCATCACCTGCATAAAGCCAGGTGTACACTGTATGACTTTTTCACTTTTTTGAGCCAGAAGTCCGTGCAAGCTCCCGATTGCTGATCGGTAACTGGTCATGTGGTGTTAATCGCCTCTCGCAACCCCCTGAATACTACACCACGCTCAGCGCAAAACTCGCCCCGATATTGTGGATTCTCGCACGAGGGGAAAATCGGCTCATAAAAGTGAAAAAGTTGCAGTGTACGCCCGGCTTTAGCGGCCAGGCTAGTTGAAGCTAACTGTTGGCATTGCTGCGGACCAATCAGGGGGTGAGATGTTTGAATATTAATGAGTAAGACTGGTAATCCTATCGACCCACTTCTGACAAACGTCTACCCCATGAAACAGGAGCGCTAATGCTTTTTTTCCAACAGAAATACACTCACAAGGCATTCGTTCAGGTTCATACTGGAGACCACAGCACATAAAATAAATAAAAAGTGAATTACACCTATTAACAAATTAGACAAACTAATATTTTAACATGCAGTAGCAGATTATGCAAATGAACAGGAGTCAGCACTTGCTTTAAGGAAAACTAGGAAGAATATTAGGATTTGTATCCGTCTCTGAGCAACGCTAACCTCAGTGGAAAAAGGTTTAAAAAAAACTACTTTAAAGCCGACTTAAGCAACTCCTTTCACATTTGAAACCTCCTGCAGGGAGGAGTCTCCAGAAAGCCTACATGTCACCAAGCCAGCATTCCAGGAATATGTTTCAAATTACACCATCTCTATCGGACAAAGGCCATTGGAGGAAACCTGTGGGCAGGACAAGGAGCTGATTCATTACTCCACCCTACAGGAAGCTCACCTTGGGCATGATGGAAAAAAAAATATGCAAGTAATCTAGTCATGTCACAATAGCTCCAAGACGTCATTATGACGTAAATGGTGAAGAAGAAAGTGTTAAAGGTATTTTTTTTAATGACTCAAAGTTCTTCCCTGGAAATGTGTGCTTGACAGGACTTACCCGGGGCAGACATGTTGATTTGGCTGAAACTGGAGAGAAAGAACTTAGGTCACACTTCCTGGATCACTCCCTAATGTTCACTGGGAATCTGAGGGGGAGGAAAGAAAAAGGAAAAGTCAGATGGAGAGAAGAGGGGGGATGATGTGGGATTGGGAGGTACAGAAACTAAACAGGAGCTCTAATCACCCTCATATATCCGGCTATCACACAGCAGTGTCAGCTTTATGGGTTTACAACCACTAATGGCCGTTCTTTACCTTTGCACACGGTCAACAATTAAACTAAATAAGACATTTGGTCTTCGTGCAGCATATATGAGCTGCAATGGAATTATAAGTGGGCGTGTCTAGCTTTAGCAGACACGGCACTGGTCTTTGGTCACTTCTCTGGATAATTCATCATAAAAACGTTCAATTCAACTTGAGCAAAGCCTGAAAATCAGAGAAGAGTAACATCCTCCACCTGCTTCTCTGTTACTGCTTCCATCCAGTGAATGCCAGGAAAAAAACATCCAATCGTTACTTTACTATCTGATTAAACCGTTAAAACCACTAGTGGCTCACCTGCTGCAGCCCCTCCGGCAAACACCGAGAAACTGGACAGATTTTCGAAGCCAAAGTGGCGTCCGTCCGTCCTCTCCCCTGCCTGTTTACCGTTGCCGTGCTCTCCCCTCTCTGCCTCCTCCCTTCTCCTTTTCTTCATATCTCCTCCCATTTCCGTCTAGAAATCATAATCACTCTCCCATGTAAGGCTGCGTCGCGTGCAGAGAGAGCGACTGCCTTCATTTTACACGGCGCACGCCTTCACAGCTTTACGGTAATTAAGAACGTTTTCAAAATAAAAGCCAGTCACCGAAACGTGTTTTCTGACTGATTATTTCTAAAGAACCATTCTAGAAAAATTAAAATCTGGAATTCAAAGGTGACCAACTAATATTTTATCACCATTTTAATTCCATTTCCATGTAAAGGAATCATGAAAATGGGTAAAAAGCTTTAAAAAAAACAAGTGTTCACAATTCTTTTTAAAGATATTTTTCTGGTGCTTCATGGTGACTTATCACTATATTACGAGTAGAGCACCTCTGGAAATGTCTGTAAAACTTTAATCAACAGATGATATTTAATTTCTAAATTACGAATCCAAAAATATCACAAAACAAAACTATTCAAGTATAAGACCTTAAAATCAGTCTGTTATGGAAGGCTTAGGAGTGAACCATGTCTAGTTCATAAAGTTTCAGCAACATCTGACGTGGAATTTTTAAATTACAGCACTTTGAAGTAAAAAAAAATACAAAAATTGCTTTTGTCAACCTTTTTAAAAATCTGTTATTCCAGATCCAGCTCACAAGTCTCAATGACCCAAGAAAAGCCAAACTGTCAGGCATCTCAATAAAATTACGAGTTACTATTCTCTTACATGAGTCTGTGCTCCAACCTGTTGTAATGTTCTCTGGTAGAAGCTGTGGAAGGAATTACACTAAGAATGGAGCCCTGGCTCCTCCTGGAGGCTTCATGTAGTAGTTTCCTACCTCAACTACTACTCCAGTCAAATAATCTAACAAGCCAAACATTTCAAACGAGCAGCATGGCAGCTGCTAATATTGGCACTGCCCTGCTTTACCTCTACTTTTCAGTTTCTTTATTCATGTCCAGCCGTGTGTTTGTCTCTGAACTTCGTGCTTATTTAGAGCAGCTGATTCCTAAAGTTAACAGAGTTCATCCTCACTCACTTTGCAGTGAACCGCAGTCTCAGAACTGGGAGATGCTCACACAAAACTGTGGCAAGACAGTTTTTTTTTGATGTACGGAAGTCGGTACACTTATTCGTTTACACTTTTAGTGTAGGAAGATTTAGTTTAGAAAGTTCTTTGTTTGTTGTATTTTATATAAATTATGTGATGTTTAACACTTGTCTCTGTTCTTTGAATGTTATGAACCTGAAAATCACTGAACTGAAATAATAACGATTGTTGAAAAGTGAAGGAGTTGTCCCAAAGTGTCCCTTTGGAGTAAAACTAGTGTGGAGCTTGACGGTTGATAACCACAGAGCACCCTGGATGAGAAGATGAAGGGCTTCAAACCAGAAAAGCTGTGGACGCAAGAGGACATAAAGATGGCAGAAGAGGTCTTGGGGAAGACGGTCAAACTGCTGAAGCAGGAGAGGACCAGTGCTAAAAGCAGCTTCACCAGACTAGCCAACTTCATTTCAAGAGGAGCAGACATCATGCTGAAGACCGAATTAGAGGAGGAATTTGGAAAACTTTCAGACCGGTTCAGGTCAGTTCTTGACTCTAATGATGACTATAGGTTTGGACTGGAGGCTGATGCCAAGGCAGCGAATGAAGAAGCAGAACTTGATGAGCAGCAACAGACCGACATTAGAATGTCTATAAACCAGTGGTTCCCAAACTTATTTAGCCGCGCACCCCCTTCTATGTCCCGACCATGTTGACGCACCCCCCAGCCCCACATCAGGGCATGGCTATATCTATCTATCTATCTATCTATCTATCTATCTATCTATCTATCTATCTATCTATCTATCTATCTATCTATCTATCTATCTATCTATCTATCTATCTATCTATCTATCTATCTATCTATCTATCTATTTATCTATCTATCTTTATCTATCTATCTTTATCTATCTATCTTTATCTATCTATCTTTATCTATCTATCTTTATCTATCTATCTTTATCTATCTATCATCTATCTATCATCTATCTATCTATCTATCTATCTATCTATCTATCTATCTATCTATCTATCTATCTATCTATCTATCTATCTATCTATCTATCTTTATCTATTTTTCTATTTATCTATCTATCTATCTATCTATCTATCTATCTATCTATCTATCTATCTATCTATCTATATATATATATATATATATATATATATATATATATATATATAGATAGATAGATAGATAGATAGATAGATAGATAGATAGATAGATAGATAGATAGATAGATATACAGTTGTGGTCAGAAGTTTACATACACTTGTAAAAAATATAATATAATGGCTCTACTGAGTGTCCCGTTATTTCTAAAACTCTGATTTTTCTCTGATAGAGTGATTGGAACAGATACTTCTTTGTCACAAAAAACATTCATGAAGTTTGGTTCTTTAATGTCTTTATTACGGGTTAACAGAGAAAAGTGATCACATTTGCTGGGTCACAAATATTCAATTTTAAAAAATAGCTTAAATTTGGTCAAAGTGGCCTTAAAAAAGGTCTTAAAAAGTCTTAAATTTGGCTCCCTTAAACCTGCAGTTACCCTGGCATCAGGGCTGAGAGTTTACTACTGCCCTGTGGAGGCCCAAAGGCTGGGCTCGGGAGTGGTTAGCCACGTAGTAAATTATTGTGAACATATTCCATGTATATTTGTAAAGACAGGTACATTTTTTATGTCTACAGTCACTAATTTTTATAGTTCTATTTATGTTTCTGGATTACCTGCGTAATTTCTAGCCAAATAACAAAAATCCAGGTCTTTTGGGGGGTTTGTAGTTCAGCGTTTGCTAAAGTTTGTTCAAATCTATTTCAGAATCTTGTCATTTTAGCGGTGGGAACTTTTACACTGAACATTGGTTGGATAGTAGTAATACTGTCAGGGGAAATTCCCCTCAGGGCTCATTTGTTCACTACTTTAGAGTACAATGTATTCTTTTCATCGTAGTGTTGGTCGGGTAGCCCTCGTGGAGAATCTCTGGGTAAACAGGGTCATTAGAGCAGGGACCTGTTCACACCAGGGGTCCTGGCTTCTGACTGGCTAAAACCAGTTATGAAATAGAAATGCTGCAGGTGAGGGCTCGCCTGCCCTTCTGCATCTAGAGTAAGTTCTTAGACCCTGCGTTTTTTTAATTGTCAAAGCTGTTACAAACGTTACAGCTGTTGTGCCGATTTGTTGTATTATTTGAATGATTTCCAGAGATGAAACCTGTCCAAACTAGGGCAGAGGTTCTTCACTATCGCATGGACGAAATGAGCACATGGAGGGCTGCTGGTAAATCACACAGCCCTGGTAGAATCAAGTTCAGGACACTGTACTGGCTTGATTCCACAAAGGTTGGTCACTGCTGCATGTTTACTTGCTGCTGCTTGTGAACAACAGTTCTGGCGGGCTTTGAGGCTTTTACAGCTGTGCTTTGTCGTAAAGTAGTCCCAAGTCTAAAATGGTGTCTGTGATTCTTTTATGTTATTATGTTCACTTGCAGTTAAGTGTGGTTACTTGGGTCACCAAGCAGAATTGGAATCACTACTGAATGATTTTAAGGACATTTTTTCTAGTTGGATCTATTCACTTACTCTGTCTTATGCTAAGCTAAAGCTAAATGCGTACAGCCAGGTTAGAGCAGCTGGTTAAAATGAGCTTTTTCCCTCACTTATCTAACTCTGGCAAATATAATGGATATAATTTCAGTTTTGAGTGAAATATCCCTTTAACCAAATGTATTTGCACAAAGGGAAATAAACGAATCAACTAAGTAACACACATAGACTAATCGGCAGCAACAATGACGCTAAAGAAAAATAACCTCTACTCAGCCAATATTAACAATAATGAGGAAACCCCTTCAGACACAGGACAAGAATTAGCTTAAAGAACTTAAAACAAAGCATGCAGAAGGGCCAACAGGACGGAGATCTCCAGCCTGCTGCTTCGTATGAGAGCTGGGTGACTTTGATACTTGGGAGTCCTTACGCAGCCACTGAATGCCAGCAGCTGGGAGCTTCAAGGCAGGTCCAGGCAGGTGCCGCAGGATGGCTCCTCCACACACAGGAGGGGTACAAACAAAGGAGCGAGAGACAAAAATCCATAAACAGCTCTCCATGACCCAAGCTGGAATAACAGACAGATTAGTTTTGTTGTGTGATATGTGCGTGTTTTTGGATCCTTAATTTATAAATTAAATATCAGGTGTTGATTAAAGAGCAAGTCACCCCCAAATCACATTTTTTTTGCTGATAAACTATATTGTCATGATCCACCCTGGCCTCCCTGACTGTGTCTCTCCTGCCTTGATTACCCTTATTGTTCTCACCTGTCCCTGATTTCTCTGCCCATTGATCTTTCAATCAATTTCCCTCTGGGATTAATAAAGTATTTTTGAATTGAATTGAATGTCTTCCTGATTCCCTTGTGTATTTATACCTCCCTCCTTGTTGCTGTCTTTGTCAGATCATTGTCGTTTTGTGCATGTTCGTTTGTCCTGTCACTCCCAGTCTACAATTAAACCATTTTTATTTTTTCATCCGTTGCCTGCTCTTCTGCCTCCTGAAACCCACCACCACACATGGTCTGCCATCTCCACCCTCAGAACATGACATGTAAAGGGCGTCTAATCGTGCTGCAGACACGTGTAGTCAATAATTTGGCACTTCAGTGCATCTTGGTTAAAATTCAAATATTCTGCCTGTAACTGGCAGCGTTGCGCCGTCGTCAGGGAAAAATTCTGCACTGTATTTGAATTTAAATCTGCCACCGCTATTGGCTAAGAGGTATGCTATGATGTCATCTGGTACATTATGATGTCATAATGCCATTGTGAGCCTGTGTGTGTGTATTTGTTAGCAGCTCCGCCCTCTCGGTCTGCCAAGCAACAGCATTTGTTGCATTTTTCAAACATGAAGTGGGAGTGAAGTAAGTTTCTTGTAGGGGGTGACTTGCTCTTTAAGGATTTATAGAAATTAGAGGTGGTCATAATATAC